AAACTTATATTAAAGTTTTTCTTCATTACCCATTCAAGCCGTCTCCAGCCATTATAAACCTAGACCCGAATAACACCTAAATAAACCCAGACCCGAGGATCCCTGAAAAATAAGGGTTATTATACATAAATAAACTCAGACTCGAGGATAGCACATCAAATGTTAACTAAACATATACAGCTTTGTATGTGACCCGTAGAACCCAATACACTTTATTATTAATGTTCTAAAACCAACGTGTTCAGTTCACCAAAACTTAAAGCTGATTCTTATGTGAAAATATACATATCGTGGAAAGGACGAATTGTGGAAATACACATACTGTAGGAAGAACGAACTGTGAAAATATACATACCACAGGAAGGACGAACTGTGAAAATATACGTACCACAGGAAGAGAGAAAAATTTATATGTATATTTTAATTTTTCTCTCTTCCTGCGGTATGTATATTTTCCAAGTTCGTCCTTCCTGTGGTATGTATATTTCCACAGTTCGTCCTTTCTACGATATGTATATTTTCGTAGAAAGGACGAACTGTGGAAATATACATACCACAGGAAGGACGAACTTGGAAAATATACATACCGCAGGAAGAGCGAAAAATGAGATCCCCAATAATGCACAAAAGGCTGCTATAAGCTTTCCTGGCCAAGTAGAAGGGACCGTATCACCATATCCAACAGTACACAGTGTAATCTGAAAAATATAAGTTTCATTTTCTGTGAATATTAAACGATCCCTCAAACTATAAATACATTATAATTATAGAAAAGCTCGTATTTACATTTTAAATCTCACGTGAGTAGCAGTAATTTAAAATTAGTAAGGAATTTAAATATATTTTATTGGGATGATTATGGCTGCATGATTTGAAATTATAATTTATTTCATTTAAAACTTAGATATTTAACAAGATATTATGTATTTCTATTGCTTGAATATTAACTTTTAAATGTCTAGCATATTTCAGGCTGTTCGCTATCAAATATACTAACCACACCCCACCAGAGGGCGTCGGCAAAATTATGAAAGTTTGTGTCCTTTTGATCCTTTTCAGCGAGAAATACTAAGAAGGACGAAAATATCAGTCCTAGAAATCCAATATACAAGGTGGTGAAAAGTTCCTGTGTGGAGAAGAAAAAAACATTTTTCTTTAGAATAATAGTATAAAAAATCCACTTCGTTAGATTAGAATCATAAAGTATACATTAAGACAAGTTTTCTAAATGTTTTTCACAACTCATAATCGTATTTCCAAAAGTTATACTACTTGTACTTTCCTCGCAAATGGTAAACTTTTTTTAAATATTGTTTTGTGTCTTTATTATCGATGATGGATCATTTTTAAACATGAATATTAATTAAATTTCTGATAAACATTTGAGTATTTTGAACTATAAAAGACAATTTTTAAATTTTACTTTAATTTCGTTTTTGAAATTTGTGTTTTCTTTTTTTATGTTGGTTTCATCATTGATATATATAGTGCAGATTTTTCACCTATAGATAAAATTTTACTATTTTCATATATATATATATATAATTTAAGTAGAGCTAGTTATTCATTATTGTGTAATTACCTTGTAATTCAGTTTATGATCTTATTATTTAAAGATTAACCGTTGATAAACAATGGCGAAACCACTAGATTCAATCAGTATTGACCAGAAGAAGATATCTATTATTTATATTTATGTTCCAGTAAAAGAAAATTTATCGTAAAAAATATTCACCTGGCGGTGTGCATATACAACAGAACCCAACAACTTCCAGGTTCCTCCTCTTCTGTCCATACGCACCATCCTCAGAATCTGGAAGAAGCGGAGCCCTCTCAAGGCAGAAGCAGCGAACACTTGACCACTACTTCCCACGGCCAGCACCACAAGAGACGCAGTGATGACAATCACATCTAGTTGTAGAAGATAAAAAACTACATCAGTGAAAATGTGAACACATCATTCTATCGGTGACAACCGTAAAGATAAAACCTCATGCGATCAGTGATCTGGAGCATCAGTGAAAATCTGAAACATCATTCTATCGGTGACAGCCGTAAAGATAAACCTCATGCCATCAGTGATCTGGAGCATCAGTGAAAATGTGAAACATCATTGTATCGGTGACAACCGTAAGGATAAAACCTCATGCCATCAGTGATCTGGAGCATCAGTGAAAATGTGAAACATCATTGTATCGGTGACAACCGTAAAGATAAAACCTCATGCGATCAGTGATCTGGAGCATCAGTGAAAATCTGAAACATCATTCTATCGGTGACAACCATAAAGATAAACCCTCATGCCATCAGTGATCTGGAGCATCAGTGAAAATGTGAAACATCATTCTATCAGTGACAACCGTAAAGATAAACCCTCATGCCATCAGTGATCTGGAGCATCCGTGAAAATCTGAAACATCATTCTATCGGTGACAACGGTAAAGATAAACCCTCATGCCATCAGTGATCTGGAGCATCAGTGAAAACCTGAAACGTCTTTCTATCGGTGACAACCGTAAAGATAAACCCTCATGCCATCAGCGATTTGGAGCATCAGTGAATATCTGAAACATCATTCTATCGGTAACAACCGTCATGATAAACCCTTACGCTCATGAAGTCTCATTTTTAATTTTTTCTCATATATTTATTGATGATCCAGATCTCATAGTTTTCAGAATTATGTGATTCCCATTTTATGAATTCTAACTGTGAACACGTGCCCTAATTTATTGAAGTGTTAAATCATTACATTTATTCTATGTAAATACACTCATAAGAGGTGACTGATTCTTATACCTAGTTTTAAAGTTTGTAATAATAAATATTTGATGAAAATACAAACTAATATACATATATATATATATATATATTCCTTTTATGTTCAAAACGTAATGACTGGTTTTTATTCTACATTTCATTGGAATTTTCAGACATGAAATGATTATTATATTAGAAGTTCAACTGTAAAAAGGGTTAGTAAGAGTGTTTTAACTTATATTAGAAGTTCAACTGTAAAAAGGGTTAGTAAGAGTGTTTTAACTTATATTAGAAGTTCAACTATAAAGTGGGTTAGTAAGTGTTTTAACTTATATTAGAAGTTCAACTGTAAAAAAAAGGTTAGTAAGTGTTTTAACTTATATCAGAAGTTCAACTGTAAAAAGGGTTAGTAAGAGTGTTTTAACTTATATTAGAAGTTCAACTGTAAAAAGGGTCAGTAAGAGTGTATTAATTTATATCAGAAGTTCAACTATAAAAAAAGGTTAGTAAGTGTTTTAACTTATGTTAGAAGTTTAACTGTAAAAAGGGTTAGTAAGAGTGTTTTAACTTATATCAGAAGTTCAACTATAAAAAAAAGGTTAGTAAGTGTTTTAACTTATGTTAGAAGTTCAACTGTAAAAAGGGTCAGTAAGAGTGTTTTAACTTATATTAGAAGTTCAACTATAAAGTGGGTTAGTAAGAGTGTTTTAACTTATATCAGAAGTTCAACTGTAAAAAGGGTCAGTAAGAGTGTTTTAACTTATATTAGAAGTTCAACTATAAAGTGGGTTAGTAAGAGTGTTTTAACTTATATCAGAAGTTCAACTGTAAAAAGGGTTAGTAAGTGTTTTAACTTATATCAGAAGTTCAACTGTAAAAAGGGTTAGTAAGTGTTTTAACTTATATTAGAAGTTCAACTGTAAACAGGGCTAGTAAGTGTTTTAACTTATATCAGAATCTCAACTGTAAAAAGGGTTAGTAAGTGTTTTAACTTATATCAGAAGTTCAACTGTAAAAAAAGGTCAGTAAGAGTGTTTTAACTTACATCAGAAGTTCAACTGTAAAAAGGGTTAGTAAGTGTTTTAACTTATATCAGAAGTTCAACTGTAAAAAGGGTTAGTAAGTGTTTTAACTTATATTAGAAGTTCAACTGTAAAAAGGGTTAGTAAGTGTTTTAACTTATATTAGAAGTTCAGTTGTAAAAAGGGTTAGTAAGTGTTTTAACTTATATTAGAAGTTCATATATGGGGAGTTAGTAAGCCCAGTAATTCTCCAAACTTCGTATAGGGGGAGTTAGTAAGCTATAAAGTCTGTTTTACCAAATCGTTATATTATTTATAATTTACTAGTATAATGTAAATGAATAGCTTCAGTTGACTCATGAAATGATGGAAATGTAACATTGATTGGTTATATTAAACCAATATACGTAAGTCAGTGGTAACTTTACGGACATAGAACGCTAAAATCCGAGGTTGAATTCCTCGCAGTGATCAGAAGCCAATCAACATACATAGTCACCTATGGAAAAATAAGTCAAAATATACACAATGATAAATTCCAACTATGTCGAGACATTGGCGTTACGTCAGATGAAAAATTTTCAAGCAAACTATGAATTCCATGTCAACTATATACCGTCATGTTTCATTATTTACCACAACATTATGAGTATTTCGTTAATTCAAAACGCTTACTATTCCGTCTACTCACCTATAACACAGAACGGACTACGCAGAAAACGAAGGCGACCAAGCCAACCCTGGTAGCGAGATCTGCAACCAGCGGACCAGAGTCGAAGGAAGAACTCGAAGGTAAACCAGACAATCATCACAATTTCCTTGAGAAGAAAACAAAACAAACATTAAATCGGCAGTGACAGGAGTTGTCTTAGTTATCTAATAGTAACTGGGCTGTGGCAGCAGTTGTCTTGGATATCTATTAGTAACTGGGCAGTGGCAGCAGTTGTCTTGGATATCTATTAGTAACTGGGCAGTGACAGAAGTTGTCTTATATATATATTAGTAACTGGGCTGTGGCAGCAGTTGTCTTGGATATCTATTAGTAACTGGGCTGTGGCAGCAGTTGTCTTAGTTATCTATTAGTAACTGGGCTGTGGCAGCAGTTGTCTTGGATATCTATTAGTAACTGAGCCGTGGCAGCAGTTGTCTTAGGTATCTATTAGTAACTGGGCTGTGGCAGCAGTTGTCTTGGTTATCTATTAGTAACTGGGCTGTGGCAGCAGTTGTCTTGGATATCTATTAGTAACAGGGCAGTGACAGCAAGACAACTGCTGCCACAGCCCAGTTACTAATAGATATCCAAGACAACTGCCCAGTTACTAACAGATACCTCTGCTGCCACCGCCCAGTTACTAATAGATATCCAAGACAACTGCTGTCACTTTGTCTTAGTTATCTATTAGTAACTGGGCAGTGACAGCAGTTGTCTTAGTTATCTATTAGTAACTGGGCAATGACAGAAGTTGTCTTATATATATATTAGTAACTGGGCAGTGACAGCAGTTGTCTTAGTTATCTATTAGTAACTGGGCTGTGGCAGCAGTTGTCTTAGGTATCTGTTAGTAACTGGGCTGTGGCAGCAGTTGTCTTGGATATCTATTAGTAACTGGGCAGTGACAGTAGTTGTCTTAATTATCTATTAGTAACTGGGCTGTGGCAGCAGTTGTCTTGGATATCTATTAGTAACTGGGCAGTGACAGAAGTTGTCTTGGTTATCTATTAACATGGTTAACTGGGCTGTGGCAGCAGTTGTCTTAGGTATCTGTTAGTAACTGGGCTGTGGCAGCAGTTGTTTGGTATATCTATTAGTAACTGGGCTGTGGCAGCAGTTGTCTTGGATATATATTAGAAACTGGGCTGTGGCAGCAGTTGTATTGGATATCTATTAGTAACTGGGCTGTGGCAGCAGTTGTCTTAGTTATCTATTAGTAACTGGGCTGTGGCAGCAGTTGTCTTGGATATCTATTAGTAACTGAGCCGTGGCAGCAG